TTGATTTCTTTTAAAGTACAAAAACTTTTTAATAAGATGACATTCCAGCTGTTGATTCTTTGAAGTATTTCCTGTGTGGTTTGCATGTTTTTCATGATCTCTTTGCCTACCCCGTCTTCAAGATTTCTACCTACTTTGTCTTCCAGTAGATTTAGTGTTTCTGTTTTAATATTTAGATCTTTGATCCATTTTGACTTTAGTTTAGTGGTGATAAGTATGGGTGTAGTTTTAGTTTTCAGCATGTGGAAAGCCAGTTTTTCCAGCACCACATATTAAAGAAGCTATCTTCCTTCCAGTGAATGTGTTCAGCCCATTTGTCAAAGATAAAGTGGCAGCTGCGGGTTAGGTCAGTGTCATAAGTGCCTGCCTGGCAAGCATGAGGTTGTGAGTTCGATCCCCGGTACAAAAGGAAAAAAAAAAAAGATAAAGTGACTAAGTGTGCTTGTAGTTATGGTTGTACTTCTAATCTATTCCATTGACCTTCAGATCTGTTTTTTATTACAATATCATGCTGACTTTATCACAGTAGCTTTGTAGTATAACTTCAGGTCAGGGATTGTGATGCCTCCTGCCTTGCCTATGTTGCTCAGTTTAGCATAGGCTATTCTAGGTCTCTTCTGGTTCCATATGAATTTTAGGAGCAATTTCTCTGGCTCTGTGAGGTATGCTAATGATATTTTGATGGCAATTGCATCAAATCTATATAACAAATTTGGAGTGTGTCCTTTTTCCCGATGTTGGTTCTTCCTATTCTACCCTATTCCTATGGAAAGGAATATTTTTCCATTTTCTGAGATCCTCTTCAATTTCTTTTTTCAGAGTATTGTGATTTTCACTGAATAGATCTTTTACTTCCTTTGCCAGATTGATTTCTAAGTATTTCATTTTTTTGGATGCCATTGTGAAGGCTGTGGCTTCTCTTATTTCTCTCTCAGTGAGTTTATTATTTGTGTATAGGAATGCTATTGATTTTTGATTGTTGACTTTGCATCTGGCTACATTACTGAATTTGGTTATTATATCCAGAAGTCTTTCAGTGGAGTTTTGGGGGTCTTCTATGTAGAGTATCATGTCATCTGCAAAAAATGATAACTGAAACTTTTCCTTGCTTACCTTTATTCATTTTATTTCTCTCTCTTACCTAATTGCTGCGGCTAATATCAGCACTATATCGAATAGAGGTGGTGATAGTAAACATCCTTGGCTTGTTCCTGATTTTAGAGTGAAAGCTTTCAGTTTTTAACCATTTAATATGATGCTGGCTGTTGGTTTGTTATAGATGGCTTTTATCAGATTGAGGTAGAGACTATCCATTCCAATTTTCTGTAAGGTTCTTATCATGAATGAGTGTTGAACTTTATCAAAAGCTTTTTCGGCATCTATTGAGATGATCATGTGATTCTTGTCTTTGGCTGTATTGATATGATATATTATGCTTATTGATTTGAGTATGCTGAACCATCCTTGCATTCCGGGGATAATCTCACCTGGTCGTGGTTTATAATCTTCTTGATGACTTATTGCATTCTGTTTGCCAGTATTTTATTGAGGATTTTTGCATCTATGTTCATTAGGAAGACTGGCCTGTAGTTCTCTTTTTTGGTTGGGTGTTTCTCTGGTTTTGGTATTAGGAGTAATACTTGCTTCCAGGAATGAGTTAGGGAGAACTGCTTCCCTTTTGATTTCATTGAAGCGTTTGAGGAGTGCTAGCATTAAGTCTTCCTTGAATTTCTTGTAGAATTCCACAGTGAATCCATCAAGACCTGGGCTTTTCTTTGTTTGTAAGATTCTAATTCCTTTAGCTTAAATTGGATTATTCAGCAGTTTTACATCTTCTTGATCCAGCTTTGGTAACATGTTTTTAGGAGTCTATTTCTTCTGGGCTATCAAACGTATGAAAGTAAAGGTTTCTAAAATAGGGTATTGATGATCATCTATATTTGCACAGGGTCTGTAGTGATTTCACCCTTCATATTCCTTATTGCCTGAATTTGAGTTTTTTCTTTCCTGTTTTAAATTAGATTGGCTAGGGGCTTATCAATTTAATTTATTCCTTCATAAAACCAACTGTTTGATTCATTAATTCTTTGTATTGTTTTTTGAGTCTCTGTTGCATTGATTTCTGCTCTGATCTCTATAATTTCCTCCCTTCTTTTGTCTTCGGGCTTCACTTGCTCTTCTTTTTCTAGATGTTTGAGGTAGTATCACATTGTTTGTGTTTGTTCTGTTTTCATCATGTGGGAATTCACTGCAATAAATTTTTCTCTGAGGACTGCTTTCATTGCATCCCAAAGGTTCCAGTAAAATGTATATTTATTTTCATTTACTTGTAGATATTGTTTAATTTCTTCTGGGATCCATTGATATTCAGGGGTTATATTATTTAATTTCCATGTGTTTGTGGAGTTTTTGCAGTTTCTTTTGTCATTAATTTCACAGTTTTATAGCACTGCGATCAGATAATATGCATAGGATAATTTCAATTCTTTTGGATTTACTTAAGCATGTTCTATGGCCTACTATACGGTCTATTTTAGAGACTGTCCCATGTGCAGCTGAGAAGAATGTATATTCTGTTCTTTTTGGGTGGAACACTCTGTATACTTCTACTAAGTGCATTTGTTCACAAGTTTGATTCAGTTGTCTTATTTCTTTGCTGATTTTCTGTCTTGATCTGTCTGTTTGAGTCAAAGGGGTTTTAGGTCTCCCATTATAATTTGTTATTGCTTATTTGATTTTTCATTTCTATTAATATGCATTTTATATAGCTGAGTGCTCCCATATTTGGTGCATATATATTTAGGATTGTTATCTCCTTTTCCCCTAACTAGTATGTAGTAACCTTCTTTATCTCTTCTGATCATTCTTGAAGTTCACATTGTCTACAAACAGAATAGCTACCACTGCTTTTTGGGGGGGGCGGTTTCTGCTGAATGGAGTATTGTTTTCCATCCTTTGACTTTCAGTTTATGAATTTGGGTTAAATGCGTTTTTGTATACAGTCTATGGTTGGATGTTGTTTCTTGGCTCATTCTGCCAGTCTGTTTCATTTAATTGGTGAATTGAGGCTATTTACATTAATGGTTAGAACTGATATATATTGACTCATTTTCGTCATGCTATCTTTCTGCTCTTGGTTCTTCACCTCTCCCCTCTCATTAATTGTCTGTTCTTAGTGACTTTTTTCTGTTGGTGTTCTTGCAATCATAGTTATTTTTATATCTATCTAGAATATCTTTCAGTATTCTTTGCAGGGTTGGTTTGGTGGTCATAAAATTCTTCAGCTGTTCATTGTCATGGAAGTATCTTATTTCTCCATCAAGGACAGTTTTTCAGGGTATATCAGTATAGGTTGGAAGTCATTTTCCTTTAGGATTTGAAATACTTCATTCTGTGCTCTTCTTGACTTCATTGTTTGTGTTAAGAAGTCTGCTGTGATTCTTATGGGCTTTCCTATGTAGGTAATTTGTCTCTCTTCTCTAACTGCTTTTTTTTTTTTTTTTTTTTTTTTTTGTCTTTTTCCTTTTTATCAGTACCGGAGATCGAACTCACGACTGCCTGCTTGCAAGGCAGGCGTTTATGCCGCTGAGCTAAATCCCCAGGCCCTCTCTAACTGCTTTTAATATTGTGTTCATATATTGATGTTCTGTGATGCTCATTATTATATGTCTGGGTGTAGATTTATTTTGATTATGGCTAATTGGAGTTCTATATGCTTCACTTATCTTTATATCAGTTTCCTTTCTCATATTTGAAAAATTTTCTGTTACTTCTGTAAATAGCCTTTTGATATAATTTGTGTTATCACCTTCTTTTTCATTTACACCCATCAATTTTATATTATTTTTCTTTGCATCATCTTGCAACTGTTGTTATTTCCTGATTCTTTGTTATTTTTAAAAAAGATCTTTCTGTTCTTGTTCAGTAACTTCAATCTTGTCTTCTAGAGCTGAAAGTCTATTTTTGCAATCATTCAGGTGATTTTGCCAGCTTTTGATGAATTTTTTGATTTCCTAGATATGTCTTTGAATCTGTTTCATGCATTCTATTGCTTTTGTGTATTGTTCTTGCAAGGTTTCTAGCTTTTTTCAGTGCTCCTCAATTTTTTTTAACTGTCTTCTTTCGATGTGCTCAGCATTTCTTTTATTATGTTTATTATTTCTTATTTTACCTGGGAGATTATTTCTGATCTAAGTTCTTTTACAGTTTTATGTAGTTGCTTCTTTACTTCAGTTGCTATCATTTCAGAAGTTTCAGGTATACGGCTTACATTTTCTTCCTATGTCCATGTCTCCTAGGCTTGTTTAGGATGGGATAGGGGTTTGAGATTGCATTTTGTTCTTTCATTTTGTTATTTTCCTGCATTCCTAGTGGTCCTTAGAGACTTCCCAGATCGGGGTGTGTGTACTGGGTGGACCTTCAGTACTTCCCGCATGTCTCACCAAAGCTCCCTGCCTGCTTGAGATCACTGGGCAGGGTCCTCCTAGGTTCTGAGTGGCATACTAAGGCTAAATGGCATGTGGAATACTGGACAGGCCTCCAGCTCACTCCATGTGGCACACCAAAGCCCCCTGGCTTCTTGAGGTCTTTGAGTGAGGCTCTACCTGGTTCTGAGCAAAGACCGGCAGCTGCACAGCTAGGTAAGGACTGCTGTGGTGGACTTGAGCTTACATGCAGTGGCTCCCCACTACCTGGAGATCCCTGGGTAGGACCTAGCCAAGACCTCAGTGAGGATCCAAAGGTCTCAGACTGTCTGGGGATGCCGGGCAGGACCTTCCTGGTTCCACACAAGTCCCATAACTGCACAGTTAGGTAGGAATCACTGTGGTGGGCTTCAGCTCACATGTAGCCAGGCAAATTAACTTTTGCATGACTTTGTCTATAATGCTAAATTAGGAGTTACCGTGATTTTCCACTTTGTATTTACAGTTTTCTTTATTAGCACCAAGACATTAACATATAGGTGCTCACAAATGATTTTGGTTTCCTTTGCATTTCAGAAGTCTCTACTATCTGGGAAAATGTTTCAGAATTTGTGGCACGACAGCTAACTTTGCATAAGGTAGGACTTACTCTTCAATTTTAACACAATAATCCAAAGAATCTTTCTTGTATTTTTTTTTTATTTTAAATAGGATAAAACAGAATAAAACCAATCGAAACAAATCAATGTAAGAGATACAGGACTTCAAAACATTATGAAACAAACAAATGGTTACCATAAGGCCTTTTGATGTCTTCAAAATAGCTGCAAATAACTTTGGACACTGTAAAAATCAAACAGAACAGATAGAATAGAAACAACAGAATACAAAACAATGAATGCAGTAAAGGATTTCAAACAAGCCAGTAGTAGATCCAAAACGGCTACCATACTATATCTTGCTATTCTTGAAATAGCTTCTCCTGCCATCAGATGTAACACAAACAAAACAAAAGAGAATAAAATCCAACCCAACAAAACAATGGAAATGATATAGGACGTCAAAACAAGAACATAGCGAGTCAGCAATGGCTGTAATCTTCAGAAGAAGATCCCCCCTTAGATGCCACACTGTGTACTGCTATCATCTGAATCTATGATCAGACCACTGGCTGTAGACTTGCAATATTATTTTTTTTTATTTAAAGAGAAAAAACAAAACTAAATGAAGCAAGACAGTAAAAGGCTAGAAGTAATACAGAATTTCAAGAGAAAAAATATACAGTAAGAGCTCACCAGTTAATAGATCACACATTGTCATTTTACAAACAGCTGTCCAGATTACAAAATTAAAGCATACAAAGTGGAGATTAATACAGTGAGACTGCAGTCAGTTCTGTTCAATGATCCAAGAAAAACTCAGCAATATGGTTCTCTATCCTACACATTTAAATAAACTTGCAGTTATATCCTTTAGATCACTTTCCTTCCTCTCTTTTTTACGCTAACAATCACACATTTTAGTTTCCATTACTTCCACAGTTTTTTTTAACTTTTTCTTTGAAGAGGAAAAGAAAAAAGATTTTAAAAAGGCCAAAAAACAAAAAACAAAACAAGACGGACCAAAGAAAAACCCAATGTGACAAAGCAAAACAGAGTCAGTTAGATCAGGAGGATGGACATAGCAAAAATGAAAAAAAAAAAAAAAAAAAAGGGATTACTAGGTGATCAACAATGGTTACCATTATGCCTCTTGTTATCCTAAAAAGAGTAGCCTATATCAGCTAGTATAAAAGAATTGAACAAAACTGTACATAAGACCAATAAAACCACATTGGAGAGCTTACAGGATTCCAAAGAAGGTAATAGTCAAATAATAACAGGCATCATAGAATATCTGGTTGCCTTCCAAATGGTTGCCTATACCCTCAAACTTGATACTATTAAGCGAAACAGAATATACTTGCAATATTATTAAAACACCAAACACCACTGGCATCCAGTTACACTTCACCTTGATAGCTATCATCACAGCCTGTGTTTCTGTGGATAAGCCTGCTGCTTATGGCAGGTAGAGAGATTGGTACTTCTTGTTTACCAGCCTAAGTGCTGGAAGGGGCTGGGGGCTTGCTGTTCCCATTCTGGCAGTGGCCCGCACATGGCACTGTTCCCGTACTGGGCTTGTTTACTGGTATGGCCATTGTTTTCTCTCCCCCTAGTCCACGAATGTTGCTGAGTCATGGGGAAAGGCTTGGGTCTAGCTGTTTCCATTTTTTGTATGGTTTGTATAATTTTTTGGAAGAAGTGCAGAAGACCTTAAAGCTACCTAGTCTGACTTGATTTTGTAATGTTCATACTTTGGGCTGGTGGAGAGTACATGTAAGAAATGTGGAATTTTTCCTAGATAAATAGTTTGTGAGTTCTGTTTTTCTACTGTTGTGTAGATTGTCTTGGGTTTGTGTAAAGCAACTAGATGAGTCTTGTGTTTCTCTATTTTGATATTTATTGGCATAGCTGTGGAACAATATCATGCTTGTTTTACCTCTTTGCAGAGAATATTTTTTAGTTGAAATCCATGAAAATAGGGAAAAGTTGCCAAAAATAAGAAATTTTGCTCAGGAATGAACTATTTCCTCTTATCAGGTATTGGGTTTGGATACCATAGAACTACACAAATTTTGGGAGGAGCTTGGAGAGAGCTAGGAGGCTGTGGAGTTTAGTGCCCTATTCCAAGTTTCTACTACTTAGAATAAATCCAGCCTTTCAATATGCTTTTATTTGATTAGAGATTTTGAATTTTAAAGTTGAGTTTTAAAATTGGAAGAGTCTATGTAAAAGTTTGCATTTTCTCCTCCCTTTTCTTGAAAAAATCAGCAGACCGAACAAACGTAGCCTTCCATTCTTGCCTATGACATTTGACTGGAGCTCGTGATGGCTCTCCTGTCTGCTTGGATGTGCATTCTTTAGTCACCATGGTCTGGCTGGTTAATTTCAGTCCCTAGCATTCTTTCTTGGCTCCTATAAGTATTTTAGTTTGTAATCTTGGAATACAATATCTTTGGAAGACAGACCCAAAGTCCAAAGCCAAAAGCATTTGCTTCTACCAGTGACCAAGATTACTGCATTGTAACATGTGCTTGTGAAGCTGGGCTGCCTGATATTAAGTGGGAGACACAGATCTACAAAACAGAACGAGAATACTGGGATTGTCATGACCCATTAAATGCAAAATGATTAAAATGTCACACTATTTAGGGTAAGAAAATCTTAAAAAGACTTTTAAAAGCTATGACATCCATGCAACTTTTCATAAGTCTCACAACCTTTTAATGATGAGTAGATGTGGAATCTGGTATCTGTAAAGCATATATTATACTTTATTCTAAATTTATTTCAAAATTTAGAATCATAAAATACTACCATTATAAAGGCTATAGAGATCATTGAATTTTTAAGGAATGAACTCAAATTCTTTTCATGTTTTTTTTGGATAACGTTATGCAGAATTTTTCTTCATTATTTCATAGAATTATATGTGTGTGTTTTTCTTATTTTTCCTTTCAGGGGGTTCAGATTCCAAGACTTGGAACTTTCACTTTCACAAGACAAAAGCTTGATATGGGAAGCAACAAATTTATTCTAATCCAGAGGCCTGTGTTCATCCTCGCTGAGAAATTAGTGCAGATCCATGGACTCAAACAAAATAAAGTATATTCTCCTGGTAATTATAATCCTCAAGACTTTTGTAGAAATTTACTGAGGATAAAAATGATAAGGCTAAATTGGATAGTGCTGCTTCTTAATTTCTTGTTCAAGAGGCTAATATTTCACATGGTATCTTTGGCAAAGGGAGGGGCTGGCATTGGAAAATAAGTCTTCCTGCAGGCCATTTTATATCCTAATACTTTAAGAGGCAGTCATGAGAAGATTTGGAGACAGCCATAGACTTGTATAGACTCTTATTTATATTTCAGATCCTGAGATGTTAGAAGTATTATTAGAAAAAATTTTGTTTGTGTCTCTAGATGGAAGAATTATAGTTAATATCAGCTATAATTAAATCTGTCTTGGTTGGAAAACAGACAAATGTTCATTGCATGCCCATGACATTAACTGCCATAAAGAATCAAGAGGAACGACAGATGCTTGTGCTGAATAAAATAATGATTTTCTTTGGGACATGCTGGATTTGAGGCTCTTGTGGGGACATTTAGATAGAAGTGATTCTAGCACTTAGGAGAAAGGTGGACACTAGAGATAAAGCTTTGAATAAGCTTACCCAGGAAAGGATATAAGGAAAACAAAAATCAGAACAAAATACTAAAATAAACAAATGCAAAAATTAACAATGAAACCCTTAGCAACATTTTATACAATGACCTGTGATCAAATTAAAGGAGTTATTCCTGGGAAACAGTAGAAGACTGTGAGGGAGGTAGGGGGTGTGGATAGGGTCAGTATCCTTGGTCTTAAGTAGTCATTTCCTCCTAAATCAAGCGCATGCTGGCAGTGTCACTGCAGGTATATCCATTTTATGTTGCTTTGGGCAGCACTGCTTTTTCCTTGCGTTTTCTAGAAACCTATGACTCTCATAGGCTTTATAATCTTTAAAAAGCCACACAAAGCAAGGAGAACTCATTTCCACACTGCTTTCCAAATGAGAGTACCTGTAATTCAACTTTATGAATTAATGAAATTCCTAACAGTGAAGCTTAGCATTGCAGAGCCTGCCTGAACTTTTTCTTGAGCCCGAAGTCAAATGAAGCAATAGACATAACTTCTCATCCCAGAACCCACTTTTTGGTTTATTTTAGTCAAATCCAAACCTGAAAAAATAAAAATAATTAGAATAACCCCCTTCTCAATATTATGAAGAGAAGAGGAGGGAAGCTAGCAAAGGAGACTGAAGCCGAGGAAGCCATGAACTAAGAATGGTATTATGGATTCAAGAGAAAAGAGAGGGCATGGTCAACAGAAGTTACACACTGGTCATGAAAGACGAGATTTCCGTAGTGTTCACTGACTGTTCATCGTGATGGGCAGTATAATGATGAGTGGGCTAGAAGATAGATTGTAGAAAGACAATGGGCAAATGGGAAAGAGAATCTAAAGGCAGGCAATATGGCCTTCTTAAGAATTTGTATTAGAAGCCAAGCACTGTGGTGCATGCCTGTAACCCCAAGCACTTGGGAGGCAGAGGCAGGAAGATTTTAAGTTCGAACCCAACCTGAACAATTTAGCAACTTAGTGACATCCTATCCTAAAGTAAAACATAAAAAATGGGCTGGGAATGTAGCTCAGTGTGAAGGCCCTAATTTCAATCTCCAGTATTGAAAAAATTATTTTAGGAAAAAATGGAAAGTAGTAGTATAGAATTATTGTGAAGTTGTATAGGAGACAATATAGTGAGGCTCATTTATTGTAGAGCTCTTAACCCTCATCATTCAGTAATATTGGAAATTCAAAAGGTTATACTTTATGCTGAGTAATGTTTAGGATATTGTCTTTTCTTTGATTTGTTGTTCTACCTATGGATCTGTTTGTTATCTCCCTTTGGCTTTATCTTCTTGATTCTGTTCGCTGTTTACTGCTTTTCTGACTTGTGGACCTTGTGAAGCTTCCATATATCTTCTAGTCAAGTAGATCTTGCACTTCTTTCAGGCTAGATATAATCTTATTTTTCTGCAAAGACATTTATGGCTCATTAGGAAGAACTTCTTACAAGCCATCTACACTTTTTATAAGACTCAATTTCTTTTAAACAATAATTTAGAGCAAAGATGACTACCCTTTCAAACATTTGTAGATAGTTATAATCATTTATAGTGATTTTATAATTGGTCAAGAACCCAAACATTGCTACAGCATGATGTAAAAGATAAAAGGGCTTAAAACTTTAGAGAATCCTCTATGAAAAGAAGCAGTTACTATTATGTCTCCTAAAGACACTAAAAACTTACTGCAGAATGTTGTCTAAAAAGCTAATTTATTTTGAACATACCATGTAATACTTTTAGGAAAAATTGTGCTGTTAGTTGTGTGCAGTAATGATATTACTTTAGCTACAACCAAACATTTCACATGGGAATTTTTATTTTAAAGAGATTAAGACAAAAAAGGACATAACAAAGCAGATCAGATCAGAACAATGCAAGTAACACAGCATTTTACCACAAGACAACCTATAATTAACAGTAACTACCATAGTGTGTCTTTCTTTGAGTAGCTGAGCATAGCTTCATATAGCTTCAAAAACAGTATAAAACCATTCAAGAGAATGAAAGCATTACAGGGCTTTCAGAACCAAATAGCAGAGAACGAACAATGGCTATTATATTATCTCATTTCCATAGAAAATTTGTTTATAGTATCATACATAATAATATCCAATAAGATATAACAGGATAGAACCAAAGGCAACAGAAAAACAAAAGCACAGTAGGACTTCAGAGTAAGATGATACTAAATCAGCTTTGGCTATTCTAATGTCTTCTTTTCTTTAAAATAGCTGTTTATAGGAAATTTTTATTTTGAATATTTGTATGTGTATATGCTATATTCTAATTTTAATCTCTACTTCCTTTCCCCTGTATTTTTCTCCTCTAGGTGATATCCCAGTTATTCCACTTAATTTTGTCATGATATCCCTGGAGAGTCCATTTACCAGGGATACAGTGGAAGGATGTGTTAAGGAGACACTGCTTTTTATGTCGCGATCCATTTCCAAAAAAAAAAATGTGGAGTTTACATTTAAAGGAATTGGGATACTCCTGATAAGAGACAGCAAAGTGAAGATGAAATTTTATAAAGACTTCCTCTGTACTGTGGATGGAAGTGGGACTTTGATGCAAGCCCTAGCAAATGTAATGTTTTTCTTTTCTTAACTCCTCTTCCCAGTTGTAGCTCTGACCATATACAGCTATATTGTCATTAAGAGAAGCTCAGGTTGAAATATTGTAAGGGACAGTTTCCCCAAGTTCATGGAAAGGTCTATAGATGATTAACTCTGACAAAAAGATGAGAAGGGCAAAGGAACTTTTAAGTCAATGCCAGTTAAAGAACACAATATTACAAACTCATAATTCTGAATATTTTATAGTACTTTAAAGTATTATGTATTATTTCACTTGACTCTCAAAATGTTATAAAATTGGCATTATCATTCTGGTTGTACTAGGGGGGAAACTGGAGATTCAATCCCAAGAGGTCATATGGGATGCCTGAGGTTGAGGTGCCCATATTACCAGCATTGTAATTTGAGCCCAGACTTCCTCACCATGTAGTTTTTGTGTAAGAAATATACTAAAATCTAATTCAAGTCAGGGCAGCATGTCTTTAGTTTTTAACTTGCCATATCATAGAGAAAATTGTGTAATTGGGTACCATCGTTGTTAATCAGTAAGTAGGTAGCATGACTTTTGTGCTAAAATGCGCATACCAGAGATGCAATGAAATAATCAACAGGATTCATTGAATACTGAATGCACCATACATACACCTCAAAAAACTAATGATGTTGACATGAATGAACTGAATTATCACAGAATCTTAGAGAGAAAATACTTGATTTTTTAAATGAAAATTCTGGGAGAGCCAGGTATGGTGGCACATGCCTGTAATCCCAGCACGCAGGAGTCTAGGCAGTTGGATTTTTATGATTTGAGGCTATCTTAAAGTACATAGCAAGACCCAGTCACTGTCCACTCCACGAAGTCTTTGAAAAAGATCTAGCTCTACTCTTCACGGAGCTCTGCGATGGCCAATTAGGAGATGAGTTTGTACAGAATAACTTTCTCTGTTTTCTACACAACCTGATTTATATAGGATTTCTAAGAGGAATGCCAACCCAGAAACAGAAATATACATGGGAAAAGCTTTTCCATAAAAAATATAAAGGCAAGATTTGAAAATCCATAAACAAGGCAAAAGTGACTCATTCGTCTCTCACCCCGTGGAATTCTGTTGAATTTCAGAGCTTCACTCTATGTTTCAAACACAAGATAGCATTTTACTTGGCCTGCTGAATGCTAAGGCAGAACTTTTTTCTTCACTGCACTGTCGAAGTTGGAAAGGAAAGTTGGAGGCTCAACTTTCCCACTGAGCTACATATGCAGTGCTTTTTTTAAAAAAAAAATTCTGAGATAAGGTCTCCCTAAATCACTAAGTTGCCCAAGCTAAACTCAAATTTTTATCCTCTGACTGCTGCCTACCAGGGTACCAGGATTATAGGTATCTGCCACCACACATGTTAGGCACAACTTTTAAAGAACATTTCCCAAAATAACTAGTTTTAAAGAAGATACTATATAAAAGAAGGGTTAGAAGACAAAGCAGATTGAGAACTTCTGACAAGAGCATATCAGCCAGTTAAGGAGCTGAGAAGTCTGTCTGTAACGCACCTGATTCGACTGACTGTATTGTATCATGGAAGTCTAGGTTAATCTGACACTTATCAGTGGCATATTAACTACATACACTGTGAAGTGGTGGGAGTGGTAGTTTTGTTCTTAAATGTCTTATGACTTACTGCGAGTACTGACCTGTAGGAAGAGTCCTCCTGGGACTCCTGTGCTTATTTCAGTGATGCTACTTTTTGGGAATTCCCTTCAAATCCTTTTGTGTAGGCCATGGTATTCATTCAAAAAATAATAATTTTCTATATTACCCTGTACTAATAATGGAATAGCATGGTTATTATGTAGTATAAAAATTATAGTAGCTATATGTTGAAAGCTTATTATGTGTTCTCTCACATCTACTATTGCCCCATAAATCTAGTGCCTAAGGTCCCAGAGCATTTAAAAGTGTGGGGATATGGATGAGGTCACTTGATTCCAAAGGTTTTCACTTAATTTCCTAATTTTAGAATCAGTAGGGTCAAGAGAGGAATCACTCAGTTTGCTCATTGCCCTAATAGTTTTAAGAAGTACATTTTCTGTCCAAACATGTCTGAAAGAAGTTGTCAATTCTGAAGACAGTTTCCAAAGAGGAGATGTTTTGAGAAAAGGCAGCATCAGTGGAATTGCTATGCAACCAGCCAGGGTGACTATTTTGATGAATGGATTATTTTCCTCGCTGAATTTTGGACAAAACTAAACATATTACATATCCTGGTAACCTTGCCTCAGATACAGCCGATAGTTTCTGATTCGTCTATCCTGGGTCACAGCTGAGGTGTAACCTTTTCTATCTCTGTCTTTCAGAGGCCTGGCACTGTGGACTCCATTGTGTCTTCCAGAGGCGCCTCTGGGAAGCGGCCTTGTAGTATACTTGCATTTCCAAGGTGAGGGCTTTGTTTTGTGGTGTTCTCTACAGACCAGTTCTCTTTGCTTATCTGCTGATCTGATCCTGGGCTTTCTCAGCCTTCTGTAGGTAGTCATGGCCATTTAATACATTTCTCTTTCTCTCCAGTCTCTCACCAGCAAAGAAGAGTTTACTGTGTTATGTGTAGTTTTTACAGTTAAATAAAATGGTTCTTCAGAATATTTCTTTTGAAATCTACTCTTGACCCCCTAGAAATTCTGATACTATACTAATACTTAGTCTCTGCAATGCAAGTAAGACTTTTGTTATCTACTGGGCTTTCCTCTATGTCCTCTTCTCTAGCTTCTTTCTCTTCCTGCATCTAGCCCACTTCTTTTTTTTTTTTTTTTTGTCTTTTTCGTTTTTATCGGTACCAGGGATCAAACTCACGACTGCCTGCTTACAAGGCAGGCGCTTATGCCGCTGAGCTAAATCCCCAGCCCCCATCTAGCCCACTTCTTATCTGGACTTTTGATTTTTACTACTAAAGAGGTTAAAAACATAAGATAGAGTAGGAAACAGATTTATCTTCAACAGTACAGTGAATGTTCCTAAAGGCTATTTGACAAAAATGTTAATAATGATAATTATTAAATGTTAATAATGTTCCTGTTGACAAAAATGATAATGATAAAATAATAATGATAATATTAATTATTGTATAGCATTTACTAGATACCACTTACTATTAAGCATTTTTCAATATTATTATATTTAATATTCACTACAACATTTTAAGATTTGTTATTTTCTCCATTTTATGGAGATAGAAATTAATTTTAATCCTTCCGTTTTTAAATGAGTGAAGCAATATGATGCACTACTGAGAATGATGGACGTGGAGTCAGGAGGCTTGACTTTGATTTCCAGACTGGCTGTCACCTGCTCATTGGATGCTTTTAATTATGTTCTTAATCTGAATTGCAGTACTAGCAACCACTGCATATTTTGGATAAAGGAAAGTTGGAGAGTAACAGTGAACTTCCCAGAGAAGTATTTTCTCATGTATTTAGAGTCTATCCTCTTGTGTCTGTTGGTTTGGAACATGGCATATACTTCAGAAGATTTAGAGCAAAGGAAAGAATAAGCTTTAAAGATTCATTAGTCCCACCCCTCAACTTTAGTTTTCCTATATTTGTTAGTACATATTTATTTTACAAAATGTTGGGTTTCACTGTGGTATTTTTATACATGAATATATTTATCTTACCACTACCCTCCCTGACCTCCCCTCTTTAACATCCCCTGACCCCTTCCTCTTGTCTGTCTTTGCGTCTACTTTCATGTCATCATTTTGAGATTCTACATAGTAAGGAAAACATGCTACACTTGTCTGAAGATGGCTTATTTGACTTAGCGTAATGATCTCCAGTTCCATCCATTTTCCTAAAAATGGCATGATTTTGTTCTTTCTGAGTAAATAATGCATATATCTTTGTCTCTCTGTCTTCTGTCTATTAACCTATGTATATCACATTTTCTTTATCCTGTTATCCATTGCAGGCACTTAGGCTAATTCTATTTTTTGGTTATCATGAATGGTGCCACAGTAAACATGGGAATGCATGTGTGTCCCTACATCCTTCTGACTTTGACTTCTTTAGATCATATGGTGATTCTACTTTTAATTTTTTGAGGAACATCCATACTGATTTCCATAGTAGCTGTACTAATTTACATTCACACCAACAATATAAAAGGAATCCTTTCCTTATCGTGTCCTTGTCAGTATTTATTGTTTTTATATCCTCTATAGCCATTCTGATTGGGATGAGGTGAAATTTCAGCGTAGTTTTGATTCACATTACCAGTTTAGTTTTGAGTTGCGTTAGCCAGATGGTTAAAAATGTTGACATTTTATCATAAAATTATTGATCATTTGTATTTATTCTTTTGAGAAGTGTCTGTTAAATCCATTTGCTCAGTTTTTGGTTGGACTACTTGATTTTTATGGTTCTTTTTGAGCTCTTTATATATTCTTAATATTAACGATTTATTGGAAGAGTAACTGATAGATTTTTTTGCCCATTCTGTAAGTTGTCTCTTCACATGTTATTTCCTGTGTTGTGTAAAAACTTATTTTTTTTAAAATATGGAACGGTTTCACGACTCATGTCATCCTTGCGCAGGGGCCATACTAATCTTCTCTGTATCGTTCCAACAAAACGTTTTAGTTTGATGCAATCCCATTTTTCAATTCTTGGTATTATTTCCTGAGCTACTGAAACCCTATTCAGGAAGTCGCTACCTGTACATATGGCTTCAAGTGTTTCTTTGTTTTCTTATAATAGCAGTTTCAAAGTTTCAAGTATTGTATTTAGGTCTTTGATCCATTTTGAGCTGACTTTTTTATTTTAAAGGAAGTAAAACAGAACAGTAAATAAATATAACGAAGCAGTAACAGAACAGTAGGAAATTCACAGTCATTACTATATTACATACTGTTATCCTCTAAACAGTTAACTAGACCTCTGGCCCCAGGCCTGCAAAGAAAATCAAGTAACTTACATATCACGTTACTTCCCTATTTCAGTTACTTCAGTTATTCTTGTCTTAGCTTGGGTCACAATCCTGTTGCTTACCGGTGGTGGTGGGGTTGGGGAGGCAGAAGCGATTTCTCTGCTGTTTCTCCCGGGCCAGTAGGGCCTGTACAGGCATTAAGGGAGGCTGCACAGCTTCGCTGCTGCATTTCTCGAGCTGACAGGGCCTCCCCTCGCACACAAGAAGGCTGCGTGGTTTCCTTGCTGCTGGGCCTCTCTGGTGCATGCGAGGGGGCGCTGCATCACTTCCGGTTTTCCCAGGTGGCTGGCAGGGCTTCTGCCTGGTGCACAAGCAGTCGGGGGCAGACTGCTTCTTTGCTACTGCTCCCCAGGCAGGACTTCTGTGGGTGCACAGGGTGTGGGGGTTGTACTGCTTCCTTACTATTTCCATCCGGCAGGTTTACCAGGTTTTTTATTTTTATTTTTGCTGAATTCCTGAATTATCTCTCTCCATGGGCTTCAAGTCTCTGTTAGATCCTTCCTTTGTCCGTGGGACTCACTTCTCTCTTCCTTCTCTTCCTTATGTTGCTTTATTCTAGGGTCTAAACACCAAAACTTGGGGAGGTTCTTTCTCTGTTGCTCACCACTCTGCCAATTTCAGGAAGTCCTGAGCTGATTTTTGTAAAGAGCCAGAAATAGTTTTACTCTTCTGCAGATAAATGATTTATTAAAGATGCTATTGTTTTGTAGTGTAGCATCAGATGGTGTAGCTTCATGAAATTATTTTTGTATTCTCTAGTCTATTCCATTGATTTGTCTCTGTTTTTGTGCCAGTAGCATGCTGTTTTTGTTATTATAGCTCTATAATATACTTTGAAGTGTTGTGATATCTCCAGTGTTTGTTTTATGCTTAAAATTGGTTGGTTATTATGGTTCTTTTATGTTTCCATATTAAATTTTATGATTTTTAAGAATCCTCTCAACTTGTGGGGTCCCTCATTGCTCCAGTGGTATTTCCATTGCACCATCTTGCCCTTCTCATGAAAAAAAAACAAAACAAAAAACAAATAAAACAAAACAAAAACAAAAACCACTGGATTAAAAAAGTTTTAAATTTGTTTTAGAACAGACATTTGACTATCCCCTTTGCCATATTTTGCATGAAGCATTCTAGGAAAGAAAGAATTGCAGAGATGAAAGCTTCTATCAATTTGCTCCATAGTCTATATATCTGAGAACAAAGGAAATCTACAAGTATACACAGCGGTTGAATATCACCTCCCCAAATTGTACCTCTGCAGGTCCTTCACTTTTGTCTGGGAAGAGCATGAGAAGTGGAGTCGAGAAAAAAGGAGAGAAACAGGACCCCTATAGCATTTGGCTACATAACACAAGGGACATAGAAACATTCAAACTGGAACCAAAACCAAAAAGTTAAATAGAGGTCATCAAAGCAGTTTGTTTCTGTAAAACCACAGTATAGTGGTACAGTGTCTTAGTTGGTTTCCAGACTGGGCCAAAAAGAGTGAACCCTTGGTAACTGCCTGGAATGTGCCTCCCTCTACAGGAAGTAGACTTATTTCAGAATCAGCAAGCTGGCTGGGTTGCTTTCTAGAACTGAGAGTTCACACAGCCATGTGTTCAGGTCTAGTGCAATAGAAAAACATTTTGATTTGTTACTAGGATTGAGCTCAAAGATGTGGATAACAAACCACCCTTGAAGACCATTGCGGAAGAAGGTGAAGGGAACATACATGGGAAGTTGAAAGACCACTCAGAAAAAGAAGAAGGCATCAGAGGTAGGCCAATGGTTTCGAGTTTCAGTAATCTGTCACTCTTTATTGTTCATGTACCCAGCCATATTTCTTAGCAACTCACAGGATCAAAGTAAATAAAGTTGGATTATAAATAGTCATTGTATTCTCTTTTGTGGCAAATGTCTTCTATTTATGAAATCCTGTACTTCAATTTAACCACTTTATGAGTCTTAGGTCCTGTGATTCTCAGGCTCTTAGGCTATTGATAATCTCTTTATTGGCTACCCACTGATTAAAAAGGTAAAAACTCAGATGCCTATAGAGTCTAGGTCTATGAAGTATTAGGAAATAGGTCTATACAAGATGTTAGGGAATTGTGTTAGCTTAAGTAACATTTTTTAATGAAAATGAAGTGAAAAGTTTTATACTTTTGATGTCTGTAGAAGATAGCTGGAATCTCCTGTGTCTGCATTTAAATCTTTTGTGATAAGTGGTTTTGACTGGAGTCTGGAATCTGAGAACTCTGAAGACGTTTTGGAAGGGTCCAACTGATGCCCAGAGGTTGCCAGGCCATACTTTGAAGGCTATTATTCTAGTAGTGGATGTGTGGTCCGAGTGGCATCAAATCTAATTTTTTAAGAAATGCTGACTTTGATATGAAACTGATGGATTATGAACAAAAAAACCTGTGACCCCCCCCTTTCCCTCACCAAAAAACCCACTTCAATGAGTCAATGTTAGCTTGTAGGTCTCAGTTTTTGGATATGTGTATTTATGAAGTTTCATTTCTTTAGTTACTTTTCTGGACAAACTTCTTCTTTGGAGAGAATTTGTTTATGTTCTGACATGGTTTGCTCTTTCTCATTTTTTTTTTTTTGTATCGGGGATCGAACTCACCACCTCTAGCCTGCCACTAAGCGAAATCCCCGGCCCTCCTCTTCCTCGCCTTCATCTTTTTCTCCACCCTGACCTGCTTGTTCTTGTCTTTTAGTCTCAATTCTGCTCACCTTTTAACAACCCTTCCACATTTGACTTTCTCCATGAAGACTTCTTTTATCACTGGATTCTGAAGTGGGTTTTCTTTTTTTCTCAACTGTCAGACCCTTAAAGAATGTGCTACTGTTTGGGGACTTAAACTTGTGGCATCACTGCCCTAAGACTACTTATACAGTATACCTAAAGCGCTTGGTTCTGTTGGCATGTAATAAGGCATCTACAAGTGGGGCCTCTAATCTTTTTATATTTGTTTTTTTCTCTGCATCTATTGAAATATATTTACAATAAATATTTGACCCTTTATTTCCTCTAAATGCCTACCACAGTGCTCTTTAGACATATGCGTCAGAGTTATTTTTAAAAATAACACGAGGGACAACTATTTAAAGATAACATAGTGCATCTTATGCGAAAATTTACCTTCATAAGAATTATGTTAGCTATATTAAGTAACAACTATGCATTTAGTGGTTTGAAAGTTACAAGTGACCTGCACTGTTTTTTATTCTACAGAAATCTCATCATCTAAGAGACTTCAAGATAAACAAACCATCTCCCCTGCCAAAGTGACAAATGTCAGCTTGCTGGACAAAGTTGAACAAAGCGGCAATGGTGGGAAGAAGATGAGCCTGGAGAGGTAGTGCACTCACCTTTTTTGTTGTTGTTGTTGTACTTCAAAAATGATTTTGAGATACTTATTGATGCAGTGAATTTTAGTGGTTGCTCATTTGTTCCTTTATCTGGTATGATTGAAAGCGTTCTGTGTGCTAGGTGATGGGGTTAATAGAAATAACTAAGATTCACAATGTAGTGGGATAATCAGATAAATCAAAAGTGATATATTGTGGCTTGGTGGGATAAATGTTATGACAGAAGAAGAAACAAAATATCTTGAAGGACAGAACGCCCAACTTTCTCTGTAGATTTGGTGAACTACTTGTCAACTTTGCAAAAGTTTTGTTTCTTGAGTGCTTAGATACTGTGATGTCACATAGTTTCATGTTTCTATCAAATGGAAAATAAATCTACCAAATATCTGGCACTCCATTAGTTCTCAGTAAAAACTCTTTGAATTCATGAATTTATTACAATTTATCATAGCTTGTCTTTTTTCTGTGATGCTGTATGAAGAAATTTCTATTTTATCTTCTTGAATAGCATAATTAAAAATTCTACACAAGTATTTATTGAGCACTTCTGTAACTTGCATTGTGTGGTCAATTTTAAATTTATTAATGTATCACAGAACAACTACCATATGTAAAATTTTTGTACTTTACAAGTTACTAAAATCACATTCAAACCCCAGGTATGGTTTTTTCCTTATTTTGTGATAATCTCACTTTTTAAAGAAAGATAAATTAGAATTAAATGATAATTAGAATTAAAAGATAAATTAGAATTCAAAGTGATGGAGATTTTCCTATAGTTTCAAATATTCCAAATCATTAACAAATTTTTATTTAATCTCCGTGAAAGATTAAACCTTTTGTGCAATCATATAGGTTGAATATTTAGAAATGGTTTCTAGTTTTTTTATAATGTTGTAAAAAATATAATTACACATTTACACATCTGAATATTCCATAGGATAAAATTCCTAAAGTTAAATATTAAAGTTAATTATAAGTTCATTTTTCATGCCTTTTGCCAGTTATCTTCAGAAAGATTTTACAAATTACCCTCCCAGTCATAGTAATCAGAGAGAGACTTCTGTTTTTTTAAAAATAATTTTGTCATACTGGGCATTGTACCTTAAATTTTTTTTCTATCCTAATAGGTATAATAAAGTCTTTTTTTTGTTTTATTTTTTACTTGTTTGATTTCAGGTGATTTTATAATGATTTTTAAATGCTTCCTAGTAATATGAGTTCTTTTAGAAATTTCCCATTTAAACTCTGTGTCCTTTTTCTACTTTGCTTGCTTATGAAAAAGTTGGGCTTCTTATTAAAAAAAAAACCTTATAGACCATTTGTATGAATAGCTTTCTGGTATATATTCTTTAAACATTTTCCCTATTCTTTCTTTAATTTTAGTTTTATTCCTGAGTGATTTGATACAAAGAAGTGTAAAACATATTCCGTATAATTAACTAATCTAAGTACATACTCAAATACAATGTTTGAAGATGTCAGCTCATGATTACATTTTAATTTTGAGAAAAATATTCTTCTAAAGGAGTCAAGAATAACTTGGATAGAATGTAATGCTGTGAGGGAAGAGGCATAATAAAATGTAAAGATTTGGGAAACTTTAAATCAAGTCAGTAATCAAGAAGTTATACTAACGTTTCTCAGAGGATCTTAAACATCATCTCAAAGAGTGTAATTGAGAATGTATAGATTGGGCTCTGAATTATATTCCCCCTCTTCTATGGAAGCATGTGTTTACTTTTCTTTGTTTTATACAATGGGAGTAAGATTTGTTTAAACTAAGAGGGGTGAGCCTTTCCTTCTTAATAGTTGAGTATAACTCATTTCTATGAGGACAGGGATTTTGTATTTGTGTGTGTCTATGGATATGGGTATTGTTTGTACTGCATTTCTTAGAATGTTGGAAGTGATAAGTACTTAATGTATTTCTGAAGAATGAATAAATTTTATTCCCATTTTACAAAATTGGTAGCTAAGACTTTGCAAAATTACACATGTTGATCTGGGTGTGGTGGTACATGCCTGCACTTGAGAGGCTGAGGCAGAAGGATTGTTGCAAGTTTGAGACCAGCCTGGGCTATAAAGTGAGCTCAAGGCTACCCCGAGCTACATAGTGAGACCCTGTTTCTTTTTTTTTTTTTTTTTTTTTTTGTCTTTTTCCTTTTTTTTATCGGTACCGGGGATCGAACTCACAACTGCCTGCTTGCAAAGCAGGTGCTTATGCCGCTGAGCTAAATCCCCAGCCCCGAGACCCTGTTTCAAAAAGAATAAAAAATAAAAAAGTACACATGTTGTTGACTGTCAGTCACCTAGTAGGCAACAAAGTTGGAATTCAGACCCAGATATATTTGATGCAAAGTACAAGTTCTTAACTTTGATAGCTGTTATGTAGAAAGACATGGATATTTTAGCTTATATTTATATATACTTCTGAAATTAGCATTTCCCTAGAGACCACTTGTCTTAAAAATTAATTAATGTTTCATTGTTTTTATATAGATTATCACCTCCAGGTTGTCTGAATATTGACAGTGAAACAAAGCCCAGATCGTCTGCACCACTTGCTTGCCATGATCATAATAAGGCAGGACAGGTATAGTCTCTTCAAATAAAGGCCATTTAGAACTTTCTTTTGACTTCTGTTTCTCAAAGATAATTTTGGAAATCACTATTATTTTTAGAGTATTTGAGAAAGGGTCAAGTATTCCACACCCCAACTTGAATTGTGACAAATGTATCTACTGATCAAGATCTACTAGTTAACTGACATAGGATTGGGGAATCCCTTCTAATTTTCAGATGCTGTTTTCCATTCTGATTGAGAGTTTAGTGAATCCTTTTGATTATATGTGAGAGTCATTCAGTAGATCTCATTTTGCTGTCACAATATATTTTTCTATTAAGTATTGACACACTTGACTTTTGGAGAACTTGTGAAGACAATGTGAGGGCTAAAGAGTTAAAGTATAAAAATTAATTTGTCCTGAAATTTGGGATTGTAGGAAATGTGTTATGTATGTTTGCAACGAGCACAGAGAAATTTCCCATTGTACCATGGTGAAGAGTGGAGGAAGAGAGACATAGAAGATGAACAACTTCTACAACAGTATCAAATGTTGAAAGATCAGGAGGCCTTTGTCAAGCACCAGGTAGTCCAAATCTTAAATTAAAGAATTTTTAGTATGAGGAAGAGGAACGTGATTATCAAAATCTACTTTAAAGTGTTCCATCATGCTGGGTGTGGTGATACTCTGTAGACTGAGGCAGGATACCTCTGAATTTCAGGCCAGCCAGGGCTACATATTGGCACCCTGTCTCAAAAACAAACAACAAAAAACCAAAATGAGATATTCCATCAAATGTCTATATTATCTAATCATTTATATGCTTTTGACTTAAACTCAGGTTGTGTCCAAGTTTTCACTAACTATAACCCACTTTGGAATAAATATTCATGTGGTTCCATGTTTGCTCATACTGCTGATTTTTTTCTCTACAAAGGACTGAATTTCAAAGGTGAAATTGCTGAATTTGTACTGGTTAATTTTTTATTTTTGATAAAATAATAATCTGGTCAAAGTTTTTATCTTTTAAATTCATAGCTTATCACAAGCAAGCAAAGACAGAATAGCATCTTTATGTTTGCTCTATGCAGATTTCTGTGGTCTCTAATAACTGATCCAACTGCTCTTTCCTGCATTTATAATGAAAACTTCCATTCCTTAAGACCACTGCCTAATGTCCAAGAACAGAAAATAAAAACCCTCGCCTAATCCACTTAAATCTTTTAAGGCATCAAAAGTAGCACTGCCTTCAAACAGGTTTCTTAGTTGGACTATGTTAATGTTATAAAATTAAAAAATTTAAAGACTGTATTTCACTTTTAAAAATTATTTTACAACAGATGAAAATTTTGGCAACTAGAGAACAGAATCAGAAAAATGCTGCATATAATCTTGGAGTCGCTGAAGCTATAAGAAATCACAAACACGAGAAACCGGAATTTTATGTAAGAGTCCTTTTAAAACTTCTGTTGCTAACAGCTGCTGTTTTTGTAGCCACCTCATCTGCATTATTTCAATGACTTAAAAGTTGTGTCAGATTTTGAATTATAAAGTTGAAAAGTGGGTTTTGCAAAGAGAAGCTTTCTTCTAGGGCAGCTGCTGCCCAGCGTCTGCCTCCGCACCACAGCACTCACAGGTAGCACCTGTTAGTCTCCGCAGCTCCAGTTTGTTACAGTCATTCTCAACCAGGACCTGGGCAGATGGTGGAGGGCAGAGTACTGAAGTTCAACTCTAGGAGCTACAGAGAGAAACAGCAGCATTTCTGTCACTGTGAGCACGCTAGAACTTCAGACTCTAAGGTGAACCATGTTGAAATAAGAAGCTGAAGATCCTCAAATGACTTAAATGTGCATTAAGTTTTGAGAAGCTCAGCTTCAGATGGAAGTGAGTCACCCACCTGCTGCACTGATCAAATACTTTCAACCATGTGCTTCATTTGATTTCTTCCTGAATTCTCTTCATATACCACTATCTAGGTAGTTTGACAGTCTACATATAAATAAGATACATTTTTCTATATCATCAAATATGTATTAAATTGCTCTGGACTAGGAATACAAATTTTCTCTGCTAAAGAGCTCTTAGTCTAGATGGAGAGAGAAGCCTGAAAGAGACAAGAGTGTGAGACGTTAACAGCTATGAAATATCTTTGAAGAAGACACTGTGTGAGCAAAGAGGAGAGTCACTTAAGACAAAAAATTTGGAAAAACTTCTTAGCATACAAGAGATAGGTAAATCCAAGTATAGTGGCAAACATCTGTAATCACAGCATTTTGGGAAGCTGAAGTAAGAGGATAGCAAGTTTGAGTTCAGCCTTGGCAATGTAGTGACTTAGTGAGAGCCGGTGTCAAAATTAAGAAATTTAAGAGGGCTGGAGATGTAACCAAGGTTGGTCTTAAACTTGTGATCCTCCTGCCTCAGCCTCCAGTGTGCTGGGATTACAGGCATGCACCACCATGCCCAAACCTAGACAATTTAAAAAGACCAAAAGTCCTGGGTTCAATATCTAGCACCACACACACACACACACACACACACACACACACACACATTAGTAAGTGGGAAGAGGGAGAAAGAGTATTCCAGGGAGGAAGGAAGGGAACACTGGGTCTTTGACATTTAGCTTACACATAAGCTTATACATAAAATCCAGATTTTACTATTACTATCCATTTTGTAGCTCCTCTTTGGTGTATCTAAATAAATTTTTTTGTTGAGGAAAGGTTAACTTTGTAGTTCAGGCTGACTTGAACTCACTGTGTAGCCCAGGTAGCTACACAGAGAGCTTGTGGCACTCTTCCTGCCACGGCCTCCTGAGTGCTGGAGTTATAGGTATGCACCACCATGCCCAGACTCAGACATTTTAAATTTAAAAAGACCAAAACAGAGCCTTTGGTTGCCTTCTCATCCTTTTCTTTCTTGTCTTCCTGTGTTAGTGAGTGGCAGCACCTTCCAGCCAGTTGCACAGAACTGAATCTTGGAGTGGTCTCTAATTCCTGTTTCTCTGTCCCTCACATCCAACCATCTCCAAGTTGCCTTCACCTGCCAACCCAATTTCTGTTCTGATCTCATCTTTAGTGTTACCTAGACCAAGGCATGAAGCTCAACTTTTGCAGTACTTCCCCTGTTAGACTCATTACTTACACTCTGATTCTCCTGCAATCTACTGCTATATGGCAAAATTAACTTGAAATATTCTTTTTTTTGTAATTGCTATTTTAAAGAGAAAAAAATCAAACAAAATAAAACAGAATAAAGCCAACAAAAACAAAACAGTGTGACACAGGATTTCAAAAAAAGATAATAGAAAATCAACAATGGTTACCATAATATACCTCCTGTTGTCTTCAAAATAGCTGCCAATACCTTCAGACATAGTAAAATCAAGCAAAAGCAAAACAGAATAGAAATGTTAAAACCAAAACAATGAATACAATACAGGACTTCAAAACAAGATAATAGTAAATACAAAATGGCTACCATACTATATCTTGTTATCTTTGAAGTAGCTGCCCATGCCATCAGATACAATAAAATCAAGCAAGACAAAACAGAATAAAACCTAAACAAATAAAACAATGAAAATGATAGAGAACTTCAAAACAAGATAATAGGGAATTAACAATGACTACTACCTTCAGTAGGTAGTACTAAAGGACTACTACTTCAGGAGAGGATCCTCCATAGATGCTATATTATATATTGTTATCCTTTAAATAGATGATCAGACTACAGCTTTAGGCCTGCAAAATAGTGAAATACTAAGCACTACAAGCATTAAGTTGTATTTTACCTCAATAGGTATCCTCTCAGATTGTGTTTCTCTGGATCAGCTGGTCACTTATGTGGGGGCGGGGGGCAGGTGTTGGCTCTTCTTGTCTCTCAGCCAGAAGGGGCTAGTGTTTGGTTCTCCTCCCAGTGGCCCACTCATGGCGCCGACTTGCAAGAAGGTCTTGGCTTTTTGTTTGAGCTTGAAATATTCTTACCAAAACCTGCCACTAGCTTGTATAATTCCTCCAAAAGCATCCCCCTGAATTTCAATGAAGTCCAAACTCTTGGCTTTGCCCTAAATGATCCTACCTGATTGCCCCTGCCTTTCTCTTCAAGCTCATCAACTTCTTGCTCATTGTGTGTCAGTCCCGTTGTCTCCTTTATGCTCACTGATTATGCCTGGCTTTTTCCATCTAGCATCTTTGCCCTTGCTGCTCCTTCAGGATGGAACTCAGGGCTCCCTGGTTTGTACAGCAGAGATGATTTAGTCTTCTACATGGAAAGCCTTTCCTTATAACCAGTCAATTTAGTTCTTTTTTTCCCAGTCACTTGTCATAAGGGCTTCATAGCATTTGTCATTCCTTTAAATGGTCTTATGTGTTGTATACTTGTTCATTGTCTGTCTCCTGCTCCAGATTGCAAGTTAGATGAAAATGAAGATCTCTGACTTTGGTCATTGTTGAATTACTGGTGTCTAGAATAATCAACCCCACCATAGATATTCAGTGCTTTCTCTTTCTACTTTCTTTGTATTCTTGTTCATACTTTTGTACATACTCAGAACTTCTTTTGTCCATCTGAAAGTTGTAAGTGCTACTCAGGACTTACTGCATTAAATCCTTTTAAATGGAATCTTTGTCTTAGAAATGGGGTTCAGCTTCATCTTTGAGCATCCCCATATTATTCTTTGGGTTAGCTCAACCTAATAGGCAAATATTAGAAATACTTCCTGATTTATCTTTTGAATTATTGATCTTTATTATTAATCCATTTTTTGAATGCCCATAACGATGGAACATGATAAGTTTTCTTCAAGTTTTTGTTCCTTGAATGTTTCTAGGTAACATATAAATTTCATGCAAAAATTGAAAAATTTCACTCTTTGGCATAAATGGATTAACTTTACTTTTTGACATTCTACAACAAATGAATTACTTCTCTTTTATTCTAGAAATCTTTTCTATTCTGTAAACGGCCACTTAGTCCTGAGATTAATGCTCTTAGGCAAGAGGAATATTCCCAAAGTCTCCTGAAACAAATGGATTACAGACGGGAAAAGGAAATAATGCAAAGACGAAACAGAGAGTTGATGGACCGCCTAGAACAAGTGCAACTCACAGAGGAGTAAGTCTAGTCAGACATGCTCTGAAAAATGGTTTCAGAATTTTTGTGTGAAGTTAGTTTCTATGTAGGATTGAATACTAATAGGATTGAATACTAATAGGATTGAATACTAATTCATTAACATCACTGTAACCAGTTGAACAAACTAATGCAGTTAGTAGCCAGTACCACAAAGGAACTTTTCATTAGAAAAATGAAAAAGCTATCATTTTTATAACTAGAATAATGATTGCTAAGCTACAATTATAATTATAGACTGTCATTTTGCATTGTTTTGCGATCTCCAATACTGGTAAATGGAAGAGGGAACTTGTCTTGAGAAGACCTCATGCCCAGCTATTAGATGCTCAGGCAACCTCATGGCAAAGCTGAGGTTTCATTACAAGTAGACAAAGTATCGTATAGAACCTGAGAGCAGAAATGTAAAGGAAACTCAGGAAAGACTGGAACCGGGGACTAAAAAGACTAGGCAGGTAGAGTGGTATTTCTTCTGTTGGACTCATAGCTCCTTAGCTGACATTGCCTCAGATTTGGAGAATGTTAGTCTTGATTCCAGACTTTCAAGAGAGAATCTAATTGTTCTTGACTGAGTTTTCTGAAGCATTGGATAGCATCAGGGCCACGGAGTTCGTATATTCCTATAAGGGGACCATATTCCTACTATTGAAGTCAGGAGGGCAGTTGTGGAGGCTACCATGGTGTGAGAAGAGATTTGACAAATACTAAGCTAGTTTTGTGACCATAAAATGTATACATTCCATTATTCTTATTTAGTAGGTCAAATAGCTTTTCTACAAATTGAACACAATGAATCATCATTTATAACAGGATAGATTACTTTTTTTTTTTTAAAAAAGAACCTTATATGTTTATAAGATGAAATCATGTCTTGTTTTCTTATCTATTTGTTAAAGAATTGGCAGGGGTTGAGCTGGGAGCAGCCTACTGTTTTAGTAGTATTTGGATCTTATGGTCAATCACCTACTTATACCTATCCTATATGTCCTGTGTTCAACACACTATCCACAAGTCTATGGAACTGAGTTACTGTTTCTTTCTTAAGATTAAAGCTCTTAGAATGAAACTGCACTTTTAGTTTAACATCTCATTTCTGTTAATATGAGTATTTGCTGAGTATGCTTTGATGACATTAATCTATATTAATAAGATTCTGTAAAACTGCTCCCACTTTATTCTGTTCTTAAATGCTAGACTTGCTGCACAAAGAGCCAAATATTTAAAAGATAAAATGGAAGAAACACAGTGTTACAAGCGAGCTTTGGATGCACAGGTAAGGGGACAATTATTATGTTTAAAGTGATGGTGTTTCAGTAGCCTTCTGTAAGAACATACATATATTGTAATGTTATTTATACTTTTAGTGTTATGTATTTGGTGGTTTTTGAGCCCATTTTCCTCCCTGTAAGTTACTGACATTTTATATTAAAAATGCTGTGTAAAGTTTATTCTATGATAGAATTATAATCTGCACTATGTGTGTTGCTATTTCAGTTAAAGAATAAGCCCTTCCAGTTGCCCGTATCTGAGCCAGACTCTCTTGAGCCTATCTTCGGTAACGATCTTGATGATCTGAAGGTGGAAAGGCGAACGCGAGAACAGAATAACATGAAGCATCAGCTAGAGGCAGTTGCTAGTCGCAAGAGGAAAGCCATCCTTCAGCAGCTGATGGATCAGAAGCGGGATCTGCAGATGCTTCACAGGACAAAGACAGAGTAAGGATTTCTGTTTTTCTCCTCCTCCCTTTTCTCCTCCTCCTCGTCCCTCCTCCTCTTGTCGTCTTCTCCTTCCTCTTCTTCCTTCTCTTTCTCCTCTATCATTGCTGTCTTGTTTTCCTCTTTCTCCTTTCTTCTCCTCCTTTCCTCTTGCCTCCCCTCTTCCCCTTCTTCTCCTTCTCACCCTTCTAACTTCTCCTCCTCCTCCTTCCCTCCCTTTCTTCCTCACTCCCTCCTTTTCTCCTCAGCAGAGAAGTACAAACAGTACCTAAAGCATTGAGGATTTAATTGTGAAAGACACTGGTCTAAGTTCATTACATGCTTCACCTCCTTTTATCCTTAGCAAATCATAGTATGGAGAAAAAATTACTAAATAATAAATACCTCTTGGTTTTAATTTTCCCTCCAATCCCTTCCCCATATTTTTTTCCTTTATAGTACTGCCTCTTGAAAGAATTGCACACACCATTATCCATTCAAAGTACAACATGAGCCAGAAATACAGTGTCACACAGGTAAAGACTGAGGATGAGACTCAGGCCCTGTCTCTTCTTCCACTAATCTCTCCTTCCATCAGGAGGGTAAGGGTAAAAGTGGTGGAACAGGAAGAGGAATGCTATGCCATATTAGTGTACATACGTTTATTCAAATATCACATATCCAGTTGCTTAAAATGCCCAACTTGTCACCTCACCAACAAGGAAATTTTGGAAGCTCCTGATGGACTCTCAGTTATGCAACAGTTCCGTGGCTCCTTTCCAGCCTTTTCACTGTTCTTGTATCCTGTTCCCACCCCCACCCTAGATTGCCACAGAAACTCATTTCTTCTTTGTAGATGTTCAGTAATTCTCAGATCCTTGATTAGCCAAAAATATCAATGTATCAGGAGTTCCAAAAAGGATTCTGTCCAAAGGAATCCATTCTTTTTAAGAGGCAGATATATTTATAAAAAGGGTTATTTTACTAAAGTTTTTATAAACTTGGGAAGTGGTTAGTGGGATAGTGATTAGATCTGCCAAATGGGTCCAGACAAAAATACATGAACAGAAGGTAAGTTGAAGATGGGGGATCTGGTGATAAGTGTGGGTTTAATAGTTGGTAGAGAGAGTGGAGTACACATGACTTTGGGAGTCAAGACTCATGTAAGAGAGCCTTGCATGTTCCCAGGGCAGTATGCACTTTTAAGTCTATATTTTTGCTAAAATATTGAAATAATTCCATACTTATTGGTAAGAAACAGTTGTCCCAAACCCCACAAGTGCTGCCCAGACTGCTTCATCCTCATCCCTGGCACTATGATTCTGATCTTTCACCTCAAAGATAAATATCCAAAGCCTCCAGCCCAGTTCCAGCATTCATTCTGATTGGTTGGTACAGTTCTCCCATTTTACTAGTTGAGTGCTACTGAGTACATTTCATATCTCTGAAGGCTCTAGTTTCCTTATCAACTGGGGATTATACAAGTGTCTAGCTCTGAGAGGTTGATGGCTAAATTAAATACAGTAGCTCTGTAAATAGTTTAGTGCAGTTCCTGGCTCTATAAGTACTCAGTCAAGAGTAGCAATTGCTATTATAGGAGAAGGAAAATGAAGAGGCTGTTTTTTCTCCCCGGGTTACAATTTGGCATAATCATTGTTAGATCAATTTAAATAGATGGAAATGTTCTTATTTAGGACCCTTCTGAAATCTGACCACAGGTATTTTGTTCAGTTGATCTCAGGAAATAACTCCTATGATTCTGAACATTTTACCTAAAGCAGATGGTGCTGAAAGCTTTTTCAAGAGGAGAAAAAAGTGATTACAGAAAATACAAGGTGGTAGTCGGTTCTCATTTTGTGTAGGGTGGTGATGTGGTGCTGTGAGAAGCTTTTCTTTTTTTTTGCCTTTTTGAGACAGGGTCTCTATGCAGTTCAGGCTGGCCTTGAGCTCACTTTGTAGCCCAGGCTGGTCTCCAACTTGCAACAATCCTCCTGCCTCAACCTCCCGAGAGCTGAGATTGTAGGCGTGAGCCACCACGCATGGCTGAGAAGCTTTTGAAAGGCAGACAGAGCTGTGGGGTGAAGAGTTGGTGATTCCCGAAATGGATGATTGGAGATACTTGTGATGCAACATTACAGCCTTAGCTTTTACTGTGCCACAATTGTGACAGTCTATGAAACTGACTAGTGTTTTCCCCTGAACATACGATTTTATTTTCTAACAGATTCCATGGTTTTTAAACCACGAGGTATACTGTTGGCAGATTATAAAATCCTAAAAGGCTGTGTGGGCATTTTGAGGGTGGGGGAGGAGACGTGTAAAAAGATTATGAAAGCATCAACATGCCTAAGGGAAGGCAGAACTTTCTTACTGCCTTTTTCTTTTTGTCAAAGCACAACTTTGAGATATAATTGACACATAATAAAGTGTATGTACGTAAAGTGTACAAGTTCCTAAATTTTGCTGCATGCAGACACACACTCATGAAAGGTTTACCACAATATAGTGGACATATCTATCCATCTCCCAAAAAAGTTTCCTTGTGCCTCTTTGTAATTCTTTGTATCACCCTTCCCCAAACCCCATGTTCAAGAAACCACTGATCTGCTTTTGCATTACAAATTTGTTTGCATTTCCTCAGGTTTTACCTAAATATAATCCCAGTCAACAGTGTACAGCACTTCTAGTTCCTCCTCATCCTTGTGAACACTTTACATAATATCTTTTCTAAATTTTAGCTTTCTAAGAGGTGTCTGGTGAAATATCACACTTTACATTTCCCTAGTGACGTGTGATATTAAACATCACTTCATGTGCTGTTCTACGTCTGTGCATCTTAGGTTCAGCTTTCTGAAGCATCTGTTTAAACCTTTTCCTAATTTTTCATTGCTTTCTTTCTGTGGGTTTTGAAAGTTCTTTACATATTCTGTGTGCAGATCGTCTATCAGATATATTGTAAAAGCCTAATAATCATGCCTGAGCAGAAGGTATACTACTAATTTTTTTTAAAAAATGTATTTCTTTAGGAAAGGATTCATCTCCTTCTTAGCTTCTGTCTTAGGCAGTCTGACAGCCATGGTGACTGTTTTATGGTGGTTCTACCTGTGAGTTCTCCCACGGTCCAACTTGTGATATTTTGCATTATTGCTGAGATCATTGTAGCTTTTTTCTCGGCTTTTAGATGTTAGCTTCTCCAGTCTTATCTCTTAAACTTGGAGTCAGGAGGGTTAAACTGCCACTTCTAAGATGTATGTCCTGGGCAATAGTATATATAGGATCTCAGAGTCATCTTTTCCTTATATGAAAATAAAGGATAATCACACTTGCCTTACCTATCCTTGCTGTAAGAAAGCTATGCAACTGTGTGTGTTCTCCTGTGGTAGGACTTTTTTTTAGTCTGGGAGGGATCTTTGTTCTGGTTTTATATCCTTTATGAATTACACATGGTTCTATAACCTATAGTAGAGTCTTTTACCTCCTCAACTTTTTCAATTCCCTGCCCTTCTCTGGTTCATGTGAAGATGAGATTTTAGGTGTTCTTACATCAAATACAAAGTTGCTTTCTTTCACAGAGATTAATTTAGTAGATATGTTCTAATATCTTGTAAAAATATTTATATTTACTTTTTTCTTTAAACATTTTTCACTTCGTAAAAAAGCAATTTCTGCTCATTGAAATAAGTTAATTGATGAAGAGATTAATAAACAGGTTAATAATCTCCATCAGGTAATTAATGTTAAAGTTAATTTGTAACTTTCTACATCTCCCCCCATTTTTTAACATATTCAAATAATATGCCCATATATATTTTCCTTCCATTTTTGTAAATGAAAATGAAGTCTATGAGGTCTTATGCATTATTCTGAAACCTTTTAAATAAGTGTACCATTAATATATATTGGATATATATATATTTTCTATAATATATATATATAATATATATGGATATATTGGATATAATATATCCAATATAATATATATGGGTGCGGTATGATTGTTAAATACATGTATACAATGTATAGTGATCAAATCACAGTACTTAGCATCTTCATTTCTTCAAACATTTGTCTTTTGTATGTATTGGAAAACTTTCAACTCTTCAAGTTATTTTGAGATAATGTCATTAGACTGTAGTTACACTTATTGGGATAAAAACAACCAGAACTACTTCGTCCTATTTGTATTTTGGTACATGTCACCCCTTCCTCTCCACCCTTTTTAGTCTCTAGGAAACTATTACAGTTTCTTCTTTGAGGTCAATTGTTGTTCGGCTTCCACAAATGAATGAGAACATTTATATTTGTCTCTCTGTTCCTGACTCATTTCACTTTACACGATGTCCTCTAGTTCCATCTTCGGTGCCATAAATGACAGGATTTCATTCTTTTGTACACTGGAAAATATTTCTTTATATATTTATATCACATTTTATTAGCCTTCAGACAGATATCCGGGTTGCTTCTGCATCTTGGCTATTGTGAAATATTTGGCTTATGTCAAATATTTAAGATTTTGCTCTTGGTTCTCTTGTGTATATATCCAGAAGGAGGAAATTCTGACACAGCATGATTGGATTTTGAGAACAGTATGCTAAGTAAACTAGTCACAAAAAGACAAATATTTTATGAGTCTACTTAACATAAGTTGTCAAGAAATATCAACAGAAATAGGAGAATGATGGTTATCAGGAGTTGAAGAGGGGGAAAGGAGTTGCTGAATGGGTTTTAATTTTTCAAGTTGAAGAGTTCTGAAAATTGTTTGCCCAACAACATGAATACACTTAATACCAAACAACTGTACATTTAGGACTGGTGGTTAATTTTTTTAAGCCACAATTAAAACTGCAAAGAAAAGTATGTATTAAAAAAGTAGTCATCTTTCATCAGTGAGCTCCTTTGATATAATGGGCATTGTGACTTTTTCCATGTTGTTATTTAGTCTTTATAATAATCACACAATAATTGATGACTCAGTTGTTTGTCAGCTGAAAAGGTGGCTATGCTGTTTTAGTAGAAAACGAAGAACCAGTAGAGGATAGTATTGATTTTTATTGGAGGATTCTGGCACCTCGGGGCTGTTGCTAATTCAACACAAAACTCTTCTGTGTAGACTAAGTCAACAGTCACATTTAGTTATGCTCTGGGGTTGTCAATAAGAACTGATGGTAAAAGGTCCATTTTGAAAGGAAATAGGCATGTGTAAATAATCAGAACCAGGCTTATGGTGATTCACAACAGTAGTGATGGTTGTCTGGATACAAGTGATGGAAACAAAACACTAAGGTTAGTGAGACATTGTACTTGGAGAGATTCCACTGCAGTCACTGCTCTCATGACATGAGCTTCAACAAACTCTCAGTTTCCCCCTTAACCTCTTTACAGTATTTTTCCTATTTCCTTTTGTTTAGTCACTTCTATTCCTTTTCCTCTTTCTAGACTTTAATTTGTATGCATATCTACTTTGTCTTGTAATGTACCTAAAGGCTGATTACTGACAGCTGAGAAACTCAAATTAAAGGAAAAAAACATCCAGTATAGGAAATCTATGTGGGATGATTTTTCATATGAATTAAATTAGCTTCTAAGGACATTAATGCCCTTAAAGTTGAGGATGTTCCTTGGAAAGAGGATGCAGTCTTGCTAATTTAACTCACAATTGAAGATGAAAGGTCCTAGACTTGAAAATCCTTTGACTAGGAGTTTCACCATGCTTTTACAGTGTTCATGCCTTTATTATATTTCAAAATTAGTTAACAAAACCTGGAGATTTTTCTGTTTAACGTAAAAGGGACGAAGCTGCACAGTTGGTGGAACTATGAACAGAGGCAGACTGTTCTTTTCCTCCCAGGCACTTAGCAGACCGAATTGCTGAGGTGGAGCGAGTGAAAAAGATGAACCAGTGTTTGCAGGAGGACTGGGAAAGGAGTGCTGCCATGAAGAAGCAGAGGGACCTGGAGGAAAAAGCTTTTGAACGGTAAGAAAAGATCTGAACCAGAAGCTCTTCATTTGCAAAGACACACTATTCCCATCACCTTGTTTAGTGTCCTCTAATGTTGGCATAACCAACAGGTTGCAAGTGTCCAACTCCAATTAATTAGTAGTGGCTATCTAGAAAGTTTTATGGAGAAAATGAGTCTGGGTTCTATAGGAAATACTGCTGTAATTATATGCTACAGGTTTATCAGCCCTGCCCTAACTCTGCCTCTGCTTAGGGTGACTTTATTTTCTATTTGTAGAAGGTGAGGATTCTCTTTGAAAATAACTATTTAGAAGCAGAGAGAATGAGTTTCTGGTCTGAACACGTCTAAGGATTATTTATGCATGGAATGGTCACAAGACTGACAATCAGAAGAGAAGCCCATTCTTTGTCATTTTCCACCACTGGGACACAGTATCTTTCTAATAACCACACAATAGCTGATGAATCAATGTTTGTCATATAAAAAGGAAAAAATGAACCAGTAGTCAGTAGTACTGATTTTTAGTGGATGATTCTGACACCTAGTGGCTATAACCATGATTTAAAGGAGAGGCTTATTTTGGCTCATTTCAGAAGTTCAGCAGGTTTAAACATTGAAGCACTGTGGGGGAGGCTCAGGGTAGAGGAAAGCTATCACATCATGGCAGCTAGGAAGCAGAAAAGGTAGGAGCCAGGGAGGGAGATAAACCTGCCCAGTGACCTGCCACTTCCTTGAGCAGGCTCCACCTTTCAGCAGCACAATCAGCTGCGGAACTCATCAGGTGCTAATGAGAACTCACCTGTTGAGAACCCACCACTGTCCACTACATTGACTCTGTGATCCAGTTATCTTCTACAAGCCCCATCTGAGAGCATGTGAGGCCTTTTGGGGCACAGACATTCTTGATATAAACCATAACTTGCTATAGACCAACTTGTCTCTCCACTATGTTTTTACAATCTATAGTTAGGGAATCCTATCTTGATAACACCACATATGGGCTAAGGCAGGAGGAATGGCCATGAGTTTGAGGCCAGCTTGGGCTACATAGTGAGTTCAAGGCCAGTCTGGACTACATAGTGAGACCTTGTCTCGAAAATCCTGAAAAAAATCTTGATGAAACAGAACAAGTCTATACAATCAAATTATTAAAAAACAAACCTCATTATACTAAAATAGTTAATTATCAATTAACTTTTATCATGGATAAATGTCGTTATAATGGATTTTGGTCCACTTAGGTGGTCCAAGGGAGATTTTCATGGGCGAGGTCCCCAGGCTAAAGAATGCACTGTACAGTATGTCAGCAACAACAGCAGGCAGCATAGAGCAGAGCAGAGCCCCAGAGTGCAAGTGCTGCCTGTGCCTTTATTGTATAACTCTTACACAGGTTGTTATCACATATTTGTATTCTTGTATAGTGCTATAACCAGCACCTGTGCTAAATCATGGTTACATAACTGTATTTCTCTGGGTATCTGTGCTAGACAAAGGTCAAGGCCTCTGGTGTCCTTAGACACTCTGAGCTTTGAAGCAGTCTGAGTAGTTCCCCACATGGGTTTTGATCTCTTTTGTGAAAAAGATTTTCTTATAAGGTATTTCTCACCTGGCTTTCTAATGTGTGAAAAACTATGAAAGTATGAAAATGATACAGAAAATAGGTTTCAAAGAAGAAGTAGTTTTTGGCCAATGAAAGGGATGTTGGAGCATTCAAGTCATAGTATTAGTGTTTGGGAAAACAGGTAGATATCATTGAGATTAATGTAAGGAGACTTTATTTTGATTTAGTAAGATTGTTTGGTCAACACTGTGATAAAGGATAGAAGGAAACAATCTTCAGTGATAGCAAATCTGTGCTGGGTACATCGTGGAGCAGACGTGTTACAGGGAGATCCAGGCCGACTTGTGAACAAGGATTCAAGACGGCAACAGGGATTCAAGACAGAAGAAAGTGGTTAAAGTAAAAAAGCAAAAGCAAGGTTTACATGTATGCGATTAGCAGACACTATCTGTTTCATTACAAATGCAAGCAAGCCAAGTAGTTCTTTACCCATTTTCTAGGCTGTTTTTTGAACTGTGTAGCTCAGGCTGGCGTCGAACTCACGTCAATCCTCCTGCCTCAGCCTCCTGAATGCTGTGATTACAAGCATGTGCCACCACATTCTGCAAAGGCTACTCTTGATGCTTTTTTCTTTTTTAAACAAAATTCTCCCTCCTTAGAAATTATTAAGGGGGCAGGGAAGCACACCAGGGATAACTTGCATAACTAATTGCCAAAGTAGAAAATCATTTACTACTGCCTCTTCAGCTCTGCTTCCATGCACTTTTGCCCACCTCTTTGTCTCCAGTTTGTACATTCCCCAGAGGCTCTGGTCTCCTGGGCCTTTTTGTTGCAGGTCTATGCTTACTGCTCTGCATTGTATAATCTATTGACTTGCAGTTTAATGACCTGATCTCCCTCTGTAGCTTCTCTCTGAGAGCCTAAGAAGTGAAGATGCACTACATGGCAAAGCAACAAATGCAGAAGCTTTGCTTGCTCTATGGCTTTGGGCATCTGTATTCTCAGTGTGCAGCTGGAAAGAAAGGTCATGTTAGAATGCTGTGAAGACACCAAGTCAGGGTTTTAGATTTAGTGGACAGGAGACAGTGGAGGTTTGAGCAAGGGATGCCAGGATGTAGGGTGAGCTGCAGCTATTAGAGTGGTAGAGAGAGAGAGAGAGAGAGACAGAGACAGAGACTGAGACAGAGACAGAAGAGAGATTACAGGTAGGTTATAAAGGTTAAAAGCTTCTTGAGGATCCTGGACTTGATTTCCTTTTATATCCCTCACCCTGCAGGGCCTTGAAAAGCATCTGCTGACTGCTGATTTTGCTCTCGCTTCAGGGCTTCTGACAAGCTGTTCCTCTTGGACCAGTGTGAGAAGTACCTACGCTGCAAGCAGTGTCAGAAGCGCGTCTCTAACATGGGTGAAAGCAACTTGTGGCCCACGAACAAGTTCTTGCATGGCTCCCGGTTGCTTGTGTAAAACCTGAAATTTGGTCCTGCAATTCATGGAGAACTTAAAAAAAGAATTTTTACATATTTGGAGTGATTATGAAACTGCATATTCATACTTTAGAGGAAGAAACATTATTGTTTTGGTTTGGTGCTTGTGGTGGGTTGCTTTAACAACCGATTATTCAATTAAATTCTGCAGATTTCTGTTCCTATCTTTCCCCCACCCTTACTTATTCCCTTAACTGGCCTTTGATGGTAGTGAAGGTATCTGAATAGTTCTAAGGGCTAGAACCTATTACAACAGGGGCCAGGAATGGAACCCAGCTTCTTGTTGGCTGCTGCTGACCCAGCCCTGCCACTACCTCTGGGACGTCATCCTTTTTCATCTATAATGGATAATGCCACAGTAAATATTTTCTCAGTGTCTGTGCATGGTAATTCCAAATGGTCAACTTACCCTCTGGCTGTCTTGCTGAGAGACCTGCGTGTGTGTGTGTGTACACATAAAAATAGGTCAGGATCTGTCCAAGGACAGCTACAGATTGTTGGCTACTCCTCCTCTACCTCTGGACTTGGGACAGCCGTGGATCATCGGCTGCCCCACCTCCTCCTCAGCCCCCAAAGATAGGACAGTAGCTGCTTATAGGTCAACTTTCCCCCCAATTCAAAAGACTGCAGCAGCCCACTGACAATCAGTGAACCCTTGAACCACCTGTAGAACCTTGCTGGGTTGATGGGAGACTCAGTAACCCCTCATCTACGCAGAGGATCTCAGTGGGTTTGTGACAGTGTGGTGAATTTCTCCCCCCACAAATGGAAAACCTCAGTGGGGTAAATAGGAGAAGTAGTCAACTCCTCACCAGTTTTAAGACCTTGGTGAGCCTGGCAAGAGTGTGGGTGAGTCCTTCCTCCATAGAGAGAGTATCAGCTGGGTTGAGGACCATGTCAATAAGGCCTCCCCCAACCTGGAGTAAATCAAAAGGGTTTACAAGACACCCAGTGACACAGTAGGGTCCCAGCAGAGACAAACACTATAGCCAGGTAGATCTGGTGGCCTGGAACAACCTGAAGCTGTAGCAACAGCAGGAACTAACATTGACTTATATCAATATTCCTAGGATAGTCGGCCTAGGAAGAATATAGTACTCACTCAATATGCCCTGCAGAAGGAATTCAGGTGACTGGCCCTCCCTTTTATTATGGGACCCAGCAATTATGCAAACAACAACCACACAGTAGGACTCTTAAGACATGAACTACAAGCCATTGAGACTGGTGTGACTGAAAGACCAAATATTAGCCCAAGAAGTAAAAATGACAAAATGAAAAAGAAAAATGCAATCTCAAACATCCAGTCCATCAGGAAAAGGTACAGGAGACATTGAAATAGAGGACTTAAAAGTCATACACCTGAAATTTCTGAAAAGATAGTAAGTAAAATAAATCTATGAGGCTATAGAGGGAATCAGATAGAAATAATCTCTCATGTAAAGAAAGAAATGACAACCTTAATAAAGGAATAGCTTGGCATACTTAGAAAAGACATAGGAGAAAAAGTACAGGAGCATGGGAAGGTGATGGAAACCTTGAATGAATAATATAGAAAAGAAGTGGAATGCATGAAACATTCAAAGAGATATTCATGAAATAAAAAGTTCTATTGAAAGCTGGCAAATCATTTAAATGAAGCTGAGGACAGAATTTCAGACCTTGAGGACAGGATCACAGCTAATGATCATGAAAGGAGAGAACTTTTAAAAATAACAAGGCAGTATGAATGACAATTCAACAGCTTCAAGATGATGCAAAGAGAAACAATATAAGAGTGAGGCATCAATAAAGATGCAGGGGTCAATGCAAATGACCAAAACTACTCACAGAGGTAATAGTAGAAAATTTCCCCAAAATGGGGAGAGAATCTGATATATAGATAAGTGAGGCATGCAGAATGCCAAACATTTCATAATTAACATAAATCTACACCCAGACATACAATAAGATTCCAGACATACTACATAAAAACAGAACATTAAAAGCTGTTAGAGAAAAGACACAACTCCCCTATCAATGAAAGCCTATTAGAGTCACAATAAACTTTTCAGCACAAACTCTCAAGTTAAGATGAGCTTGGAGTGAAGTATTTCAAGCTGTAAAAGAAAACAACTTTTAATCCAGATTGATGTACCCTGCAAAACTTTATTTGAAATATAATGGAGAAATAAGATACTTCCATTACAAAGAAGAACTGAAAAAATGTATGTCCACCAAGCCAACCCTAGAAAGAGTACTGAAAGACATACTAGAGAGGAATAAAAATGACTACAGCTCTCAGAACAACAACAGAAAGAAATCACCAGACAGGGTAAACAATTAAACAAGGGAAAAAAGCAGAAAACCTACAGCAGGAAAATAACATGACAAAGTTGAGCCAGTACATATCGGTTATATCCTTCAATGTAAATGGCCTCAATTTATCTGTTAAAAGAAACAGGTTGACAGAATGGATCAAGAAACAGGATCCAACAATATGCTGTATACAAGAAACACATATGACTCAAAAGGAAACTCATAGACAAAGTCAAAAGTGGAAAACAATATTCTCAATAGGAACCTAGAAAAAAGCAAAGATAGCTATTTTATTTGCGGACAGTGTGAACTTCAAACCAAAAATGATCAAAAGAGATAAAGGAGGTCACTACATACTGGTTAGGGGAAAACTTCAAGATGAAGTGCTAACAATCATAAACATATATGCACCAAACACAGGAGCACCCAAATATATATGATTGATACTAACAAATATGAAAAACCAAATAAGCAACAACACAATTATAATAGGGGACCTCAATACACCATTGTCACAAAGATATATATTAACTAGACAAAAAGTTGGCAAAGAAATAACCAAATCAAACCTGTGAACAAATGGATTTAGTAGACATTTACAGAGTGTTTCACCCAATCAGGTCAGAATATACATTCTTCTCAGATATGCATGGGACAGTCTCCAAAACAGACCATATGTTAGATCATAAAACATTATTAAGTAAATGTAAAGAGATTGAAATTTATCACATGCATATTATCTGACCATGGTACACTGAAATTGGAAATTCATGGCAAAAGAAATTGCAAAACATGCATAAATACATGGAAATAACAACCTCTTGAACAATCAATAAGTTACAGGTGAAATTAAAGAAATTAAACAATACCTACTATTCAATGAAAATGCAAATACAACATACTGAAACCTATGAGATGCAAAGAAAGTGGTCCTAAGAGGAAAATATACAGCAATAAATTGTCACATCAAGTAAATAGAACAAGTACAAATAATTTGATGCTACACCTCAAGCATCTAGAAAAAAGAGTAAATAAAAGCCAAAGCTCATAGGAGAGGAAATTATAAAGATCAGAGCAGAAATTAATTCAATTGAGACTAAGAAAACAATACAAATTAATGAATCAAAGAGTTGGCTTTTTGAATTAAAATCGATAAAGCTCCTGAAACCTTATTAAGAAAAAGAAAGAAAGCCTCTTTAATTCATGCAATAAGGACTGAAAAGAGAAAAATTACTACAGAGCCCATGGAAATTCAGAAGATCATGAATAGCTAATTTGAAAATCTTTATCAAATAGGATGGAGGAAACAGAGGAAATGTATAGATTTTTAGAAATGTATGAATTACCAAAGCTGATTCAAGATATAACAATTTTGAATAACCCAATATCAGCTACTGAAATTGAAAATGTGATTAAAAACTTAGCAACAAAGAAAAGCCCAGGACCTTATGGATTCATGGTTGAGTTCTACAAGAAATTTAGAGAAGATCTAACACCAGAACTCCTTAAGCTCTTCAAAGAAATTGAAAGGGAAGCAATCCTCCCTAAATCATTCCTGAAGACAAGTATTACTCTGATACCAAAACCGGAGAAAGACTCAATCAAGAAGGAGAACTATAGGCCAGTCTCACTAAAGAACATTGATGTAAAGATTCTCAATAAAATACTGGCAAATAGAATGCAGCAAATCATCAAGAAGATTATACATTGTGACCAACTGGGATTTATCCCAGGAATGCATGGATGGTTTAACATATGCAAATCAGTAAATGTAATACACCACATCAACACAGTCAAAAACAAAAATCACATTATCATCTCAATAGATGCAGAAAAAGCTTTTGATAAAGTCCAATACTTGTTCATGATAAAACCCTAATAGATGGAATAGATGTTATCTACCTCAGTGTGACAAAAGCCATTTATGACAAACCAATAGCCAGCAGTATACAAAATGGACAAAGATTCAAAGCTTTCACTCTAAAATCAGGAGCAAGACAAGGATGTCCACTCTCACTACTCCTATTTAATATGTTTCTGGAAACATTAGGCAGAGCAATCAGACAAGAGAGAGAAATAAAAGGAATAAGGATAGGAAAGGAACAAGTTACCACTATTTGCAGATGATGTGATATTTTATATGGAAGACCATAAAAACTCCATCAAAACTGCTAAAGTGAATTAAGAAATTCAGCAGTGTAGCTGGTTACAAAGTCGTCAAAAAATCAATAGCATTTCTGTACACAAACAGCAAACTCAGAGAGAAATTATGGAAATTACGTCTTTCACAATAACATCCAAAAAAATGAAATACTTAGCAATCAACCTAATGAGAATGTAAAAGACCTATACACTAAAAATTATACTACTCTAAAAAAGGAAGTTGAAGAGGATATTAGAAAATAGAAAGATATCCCTAGCTCTTAGGAAGAACCAACATTGTGAAAACGGCCATACTCTCAAAACTGTTACACAGATTTAATGCAATCCCAATCAAAATAACATTAACATACCTTACAGATCTAGAGAAAACATTCTTAAAATTCATTTGGAAACAGAAAAGACTTAGAATAGCAAAGGCAATTCTGGGCAACAAAGGCAAGGCAGGAGGCATCTCAATCCTTGACTTGAAATTATATTACAAAACTACAGTGGTAAAATCAGCATGGTACTGGCAAAGAAATAGACTTGAGGATCAGTGGAACAGATTAGAAGATGCAAACACAACTACAAAGACACTCAGTTGCCTTACATTTGACAAAGGGTCTAAATATATTCACTGGAAGAAAGATAGCCTCTTTAATGAACAGGGCTTGGAAAACTGGCTTTCCACACGCTGAAGACTGAAACTAGACACATGTCTCTCACCCATGCAGTTATGTCAAAATGGATCAAAAATCTAAATATTAAAACAGAAACACTAAATGTACTGGAAGACAAGGTAGGTATAAATCTTGAAGACATAGGGGTAGGCAAAGAGTTTGTGAAAAAAACGTAAACCACACAGGAAGTACTTCCAAGAATCAACAACTGGGATGTCATCTTATTAAAATGTTTTTGCACTTCAAGAAGATCATTAA